AGCCCGGACCCGAATCTGGGGTGCCCGGGTTTGACACCTAGCCGAATAGGGCCAGCTCGGATTTTTTTTTAAAATTTTGTAGCTAAAAATTGAATAAAAATTAGATTAATCTTATTATATTTATATAAGTATGTATTAGTATATACTTACATATTAGTATATAGCTATATATTATATGTAAGTATATATAATTAGAGATGCATTAATGACCATATTATACTATAGTTATATATAGTATACATAAAAAATATATATGTAAGTATATATAAGTATACATTAATATCAATATACACTTAAAATTTTTAAGTATACATTAATGACTATATCATACTATAATTATATATAAAAGATATTATATATATATATATATATATATATATGAGAAAAATGAGTATACTTGGGATTGGGATCCTCTACTAATGAGGAGCTTTCTAATATCTTCTAATGGAATCTTAGCCTTTAATTTATCAATCAAAGGCTAAGATCTCTTCATGAGCAAAAGTAAGGGGAAGATAAGGATAAGATCTTAGCCCTTGATTGATAAATCAAAAGCTAAGATCTCTTTATTAGTAGATATTAGTAGAGGATCCATTAGTAGAGGATCCCAATCCGTATAGGATCCCAATCCGTATACTTGGTACCAAGGATCCTTGGTAGTGATGTGGACACATCTTGTCCATACATCACACCTTGAAGATGGAGCCTCACTAACTTCAACCCGGATTTTCCGGGCCTTACCCGAGCACGAGCCGGGTCCGGGCTGGACAGCGGGTCGGATTTGGGCCGAAGCCCATATGAACAGCCCTAATCGTACCGCGATGCTAGTGAATGTATGAACAATATACTATGTTAAAAAGTTTTTATCCATGTTTTTCTTGATTTCATGCAATTATTCATATCTAATTTATTTATTATTAAGATAATTTATGTAAAAATAGTTGGTAAAGATACTTGATTCCACTATTTTTTTTTTTCTCTTTTTACTTTCAATGAGAAAATAATTTTGATGGATGTTCATTTCGAATAGTATCTTATCAATTCATAATATCAGCTCAATAAACCGTGCACCCACTTTATTATATGAAGTTCTGTCTTTTGCACGTATAACAACATAGTTATAGTGTAGATATTTCATAGAAAATCCCCACATTTAATAGATAATCTTCTCTTCAAATAAACTAGTATAATGCATGTGCCTTTGCATGTGGACACTCCTCTTATATTAATATAATGAACCTGTTTTGTGAACTAAAAAAAATAAAGATTTGGAATCTACTAAAAAATAACGATTTAAAACTAATTAGAGATACCTAATATCCTCAATTACATTTTGTCAATTGTGTTAATTTCAAGCAATTTCTAAATTTTGTAGATCTACTTTTTATTCAAACAGATGAGCTTGCTTAGTGCTCTATGATGGCAGCATAAAAAAATATTAGTCCACATATTAGTATGAAAAATATAACAATAAAATATTTCCAAAAAAATGTCAGCAAACAACTTGCATGGGCAACATATTTATTCCTTAGAAATAGAGGATGATGTCATGATTCCCCTCTTCCTCCTTGTCCGCATTTTACATGTAAAATATTATTTAAGGTTGTTTGATCTCCCTAAATATCCACAATGTAGTTTGATGAGATCATAGAAAAGAAAAAGAAGATTATGATATAAGAATTTAAAGAGATGGAGAATTATATTTAAAAAGAAGATTATGTATGTCATTGTATATATGTAGATATATAAAAAGGGCATTCAAAAGTTTTTAACACCCCAATCCTCTTTCATATGTAGTATAGAATAGATAGATATAGATTGGTCCTGAAATTGTTATACATTGTCAAATAATAGTCATTCCCATACTTCTTTTATCTTTTCTTTTTTTTTCTTTTTTTTTTCCACCTCAAACTCTTTACGTCAACTATTTAGCATACATCAAATTAGTGACTGAGCAAATAAGATGTTATACGCTATACCCTATCAAACAAATGTGAAAAATTAGAGTGCCACTACAACAATTTGCAAATTGTGCGGACGAGTCATAATCAAACAGCATACATCTTCCAAATCTGGAAACCTTCTGCATATTTATTAGGTAAGTTCACAACCATGCATCCTGGGATCATGGCTGCCCAAATATCAACTATCTAGAATGATGTCCCAGAGGTAAATACATCACTATTTGCCCAATACTATTTTTGGAACAATTCAACATTCATTCAGTCCCATGATACTTTTTTTTTGAACTGAAAAAGCAGGGTTAGAAGCCCTGCTCATATAAAGATTTTATTAATAGACATAAAATACTACATTACTAGATGAAGAAACCACATAGGGTGAAGCAGGTAAGGAGCGGACCTATGTCGTCACCTACCAAACTGGACCCGTAACGGAACCTCAACTAGATAGCACAAAGATACATACTTACATACTAAAGTTCAGAAAAAAACATACTTAGAAACATAACAACTTAGTTTATGGGGTAGAAACATCAGTAGATAACCAACAAAAGGTACAATTCCCAGTGGCATCTGAGTTTAGAGGGCATGAGGAAGGCATTCCCCAGTGGCATCAGCGCTCTTATTAGCAAGCTCCTGGAGTCCAACACTTAAAGCCGCCCTGCGAAGTCTCCTTTCCAACCTCTCATCCGCAGCACCTGCCCAAAAAGTAGTATATCTACCTATATTAGAGGCAGTTAGTAGAAGATCAGGTTGTTCATCCTTAAAAATGAGTACATTTCTACTAAACCATATCCACCAGCAAGTACAAGGCAACAGAATCTTCCAAATGATTTTTGCATCCTTACTAAGAATGGTAGATTTATGAAAAAATATCAACTCCTCAACCGATTGCGGCCAACTGTTGGTAGGGATAGAGGGGAAAATGAGTGAGCATATAGCTTGAGCAAATGGGCATTTGATAAACAGGTGTTCGTGAGTTTCAACATCAGACTGACAGAAGGAACATCTAGGATCACCTGTCCAGCCTTTAATAACCAAGTTTGCCTTCGTATTTAACTTCTTGTTAGTGATGAGCCAGAAAAGAACTTGTCCAGCCTTTAATAACCAAGTTTGCCTTCGTATTTAACTTCTTGTTAGTGATGAGCCAGAAAAGAACTTTGACCTTATTTGGGATAGGAGATCTCCTTCGTATTTAACTTCTTGTTAGTGATGAGCCAGAAAAGAACTTTGACCTTATTTGGGATAGGAGATCTCCAAATCATGCTATAATACTTGGATTTAATACCCCCTGAGTTGACAAGGGAGTAGAAAGATTTAACTGAGTAAATCCCCGATGGAACCAGAGTCCACCACAGCTCATCTGGACCAGGAGAAATTGTGATATTTGAGGAAGTTAAATGAGTATGGAGAAGTATTAGATCAGACCATTCTGAATGCGATATACCTCTTCTGGTAAGGGGGTGCCAGTTCCATGATTGGTTGGTCATCCTGCACTGTGATCTGATACTACAATACTGAGATAGGGCTAACTGGTAAGCTTTTGGAAAAAGGCTGCTGAGTGAGTTTGACGCAGACCATTTGTCATGCCAAAAGCTACCAGATTTACCATCCCCAGTATTCCATTTAACCAAACTGAAAAAGGTGGAGCTTATAGATGATAAGTCTTGAATGAACCTTGATGCCGAGCACTTTGAGGGATGAGCAAAGGGATTTGAGCCATCTTTGGAGTAAATAGAGAAAACCACATCACTAATGAGAGACTTTCTATCAAAGAGTTTCCACAACCATTTTGATAGAAGGGCTCTGTTAAAAGTTTCGATATCAAGAACCCCCAGACCTCCTTCGGCTTTAGACTTGCATACTTTCCTCCAGCTAACAAGGCATTTAATACTTGAGTGAGTGTGGCTACCGTTCCATAGAAAAATTCTTCTGATTCTATCTATAGCCTTAATAAGCCACTGCGGCAGCTTAAAAAAAGACATATAGTAAAGAGGAAGAGAAGATAGAACTGAGTTTAGGAGAGTTAACCTTCCCCCAATTGAGAGAGATTTGTTTTTCCATAGCGAGAGCTTCTTGTTGAAGGATTCTAAAAGAGGTTGCCACTCTCTTTTGGAGAGAGATCCTCTTTTGAGAGGGAGACCCAGGTATGAGAATGGGAGAGTGCCTACAGAGCAATTGAGGGTCTCAGCTAGCATTTTGCCTTTAAGAGGAGTTTTACCGAGGTAAAAGAGGTTTGATTTGGTGGGGTTTACACACAGGCTAGAAATGTTTGCGAAGATGTAGAGGATGGTTTTCAAAGTAGCCATGTCAGAGGGGGTAGCCCTAGTGAATATAATGGTGTCATCCGCAAACTGGATAGACCTGATGTTGTTGAGCTGCCCTTTCAGATTTAGGTCCGATAAGTCCCCCGATTGAGCACTACGATTGAGTATTTTGCTAAGAACATTTGCCACCAGCAGGAAAAGCAAAGGGGGTAGAGGATCACCTTGTTTGAGTCCCCTGAAACATCGAAAAAAATTGGTAGGGGAGCCATTAACTAGAACAGCTGATTTAGAAGAGGATAGAATGTTGTGGATCCAAAGGCACCACCTGGGACCAAAACCTCTGGCTTTAAGAAGAGACTGGAGGAAGGACCAATTTACACAATCAAAAGCCTTGTAGAAATCAACCTTGAGAGCACATATCTCCTTTTCCCCCGAAGAACAGAAGTTAATCATCTCATGACCTAGAAGAAATGAGTCTAAGGATGATTTACCAGGTTGAAAAGCTGATTGTGACTTGTCAATAAGAAGATGAAGAACTTTTCTAAGTCTATTTGCCAGAATCTTAGAAAAGATCTTACATGAACTGTTTATGAGACTGATTGGCCGAAAATCCTTAGGTGAGAGGGCACCCTCTTTCTTGGGGATAAGGCAAATGTGGGAGAAGTTGATATTGGAAAGCAGATGAGGTTGGGAGAACAGACCTTGGATGAAATCAGTAACATCCGCTTGAACGATATGCCAAAATTTCTGGAAAAAGAGGATGGGGAATCCATCTGGCCCCGGGGATTTATCAGGATGAAGACCAAAGACAGCCTCAGAGATTTCTTGGGGGGTAAAGGGAAGATCTAAAGAAGAGAGATCAAGGTTGTCATTTGGGTAGAGTAGATATCTTCTCAGTATCGAGCTCTTGAGGGGATAGGCTTCTAGATTCCTCAGAAATGTTGAGTGAGTGAATTTGGGATGAGAGATTGGAGATGGACTGGGATAGAGATCGAAGACAGTTTTTCCTCCACCATATGATTCTTCTTTTAATGAGTTTGAGTTTGAAAAGAAGGGGAATTTTATGATCCTGATGCAGGTGAAAGGATTTCCAACTGGATTCTATAAAGGATGAGAAGGATGGGAGCGAAAGCCACATTTTTTCAAATCTGAAAAGAGGAGAGGGGATAAAAGGGGAAACTGTGTCCAAAACAATGGGACAGTGGTCAGAGCATGAGGGTGGATAAGCAAACTGAACCATTTGGGGGAATTTGGAATCGAAATCCAGAGAAACTAAGAACCTATCCAACCTGGCTAGAGAAGGAGGGGATCTATGGTTGGACCAGGTGAACAGTCTCCCGCTGAGGGGGAGGTCTAAGAGCTGGACAGAATCAATGAGATTTTTGAAGACTTTGATGTCTCGAAAGGAACTCAAACGGCCACTTCTTTCTTCAGAGCTAAGAGTCATGTTGAAATCACCAAAGACCACCCATGGAAGAGAATGGGAGCCTCTTATTTTTTCTATTTCCCACCAGCATACCTCTCTCTCTGAAGAGTCACATGGAGCGTAAAAGCAGGTGGCTACAAAGCTCCAATTGGATGGTCTGTGAGTGAGAGTAGCCGATACTGAGAAGATATCTACAGATGAGGAAGAGCAGGAGAAAAGGTCGTCATCCCACCCCAAAAGGACCCCTCCCCTTGTGTCATTGGCATCGAGAGAAATCCAAGAAGAGATATTGCTGCCCCCCAGGGATTTTAGAAGAGAAGGCCTAGGGGAAGACAATTTGGATTCTTGCAGACCTACAAGGTTAACTTTAGCCAAGGAGAGACATTCCCTTACCAACCTACGTTTGGGTGGGTTGTTTAACCCTCTAACATTCCAAGATCCGATGCGCATGGGAACTAAAGAGATACAACTTGAGAGGAGGGGGAGACTCAGAGGGGGAGGACATCTTCAGACAACCTATTGTGGATGTCAATCAACCCTTGGGGATCTATCGGTTCTTGGATACCACAGTTGACAGAGATTTCCTCTAATCTCTCCAGCGCACTAGAATGAATTGGAGGAGTGGAGACAGATGAAGAAGATGAAAGTTTGGATATACCTGATTTCTTACCATTCTTCAACTTGGATAGGTTCTTTTTGAAAGGCATGGGCATGTGAAGACCACTGGTGGCTTTCTTTTTTGCCCTCTTGGCTTTGCTTTTGGCTTTCTCAAATCCCGGGGGTGGGTCTGAAGTAGAGACGTGCTCCGACGAGTCTGATAGACTGATCTGAATGGCTCGATCTGCATTTGATGGCAGGGAAGAGGCTTCTTCAAGGTTTGGGAAGGCAGCTCTTAGGATGGCTCATGAATCTCTGGAGATATCTATGGTGATCCCTTTGAAAGAAACTGCTATCAACTCTGGGGAGGCCACTGGGACTGCTGCTATGGGGGAAGAGGGATGCGAGTCTCCAGACTCCAGCAAGGGCCTTTTGCCTTTTGGATCTGACTGCTTGGGGGGTTCTGGAGGAGAAGACTGCAAAGACCCCACTGGGGGAGGAGGCCTGGGGGCGGTGGGAGGGGCTCCCTCTCTGCGGACAAAAACTTCAAAAAGATCTCGATCTTTACCAAGCTCCGCGGGGAGAGGGTCCCCGACCAATTTCAGCTTGATCTCACCTTCCAATATGTGAACTTCGTTAGGGGATTCATATCGAAAGATGACTTTCTGAGGGATTTCAGATGGATCCCTAACATGCAGCATGGCTTTACAGACCCTTGCTTCTTTTTTGAGCAATACATCATCAGAGAAGGCGATAACATCTCCAATATCAACAAGAATGTTTGAAATAAACTCCATATCCCATAAATGAATAGGAAGGTGAAGAAGCTCTACCCATACATAGAAAAACTTTGGGAGGGTTTTAAGGCCAGAAGATTCTGACCATGGGGTAAAAACACCCCCAAAGTTTCCCATATCAAAAAAGGGTTTGGAGCAAGCGTGATCAAGAGACTCCGCATCAGGGAACTGGATGAAAAAAGAAGCCGCCGCCGATTGCCTGATCACGCATGACCATTTCTCTACCTTGAAATGTTTCTCTAGGTTCTCTACCAGCTCGGCATAAGAAGGGTTGCCGACTTGGATCTGGAAATGAGCGTAGCTCGCAAACTCCTCCAAACTAGAAATGACAGATGGGGGGAAGAGGGTAGAATAGAAGAGGGGATGCTAAGCAAAGGGGGTTGCTTTCTATAGGGACAACAAGCAGAGGTATGGCCTACAAGGTTGCATGCAAAGCATTTGAAGCCTCCCAGGGAGCAGTTCTTAGCCATGTGACTAGTGTTGCCACAAAGGAAGCACCTTGGAGGTTTAGGGGAAGGGGAGGGCTTGGATGAAGAGGCTACAGATCTGGACCTCTTGAATCTCTTCCTGTAGGAGACTGTGGTCCAACCTAGATCTGGGGAAGGGGGAAGGCCTTTGGAGGTAGGCGGAGGTGCAATAGGGGTTAGTGCTGAGCTGGAGCCCTTGAGAATGTCTACAAACGAGGGTTTGGGAGATGGCGCAGGATTTTGAGGAGGGTGAAGAGGTAAGGACAGTGGTGAGGAATAGGTTTTGGGACGATGAGGGAAGGTCGTCGAAGGGGCGAAGTGACGAACGGGTGAGGGGGTAGGTGGGAGTAAAGGCTTGGAAAGGATGGATGGAAGAAAGATTGTGATCTTACCGTCATGAAAGGAGACTAAACGTCGCCTCGAGTTCCGTTCCGCCGCCTGGTCACCTCCAGCTCCTAATCGCCGCCTGTTCCGCCTGTTCCCCTGCTCCATTATGGTCAAAACTAAAAAAAAAAAAAAAATCCCCAAATCCCCAGATGGGGTGAATCCTTTCTCTGCGTTGCTTTCTTTAACTTTGCTAACCAAGCACTAGACCACTTCAGTCCCATGATACTTAAATTTGAAGTTCTCTAATTAAGCACTATCATACAACCTCTGTTGCCATAATCCTAAGGACAGTGATCAGTAGTTGTAAATATTAAATGAAAATACAATGGCTCCAATGAAAGTATGCACTCCCCACATGGCAGGAGAAAAATAACCCTGCTTCCTCTGATTCAATAACTTTAATCCTAGTCATCTATACACAAAAGAATCTGGGGAGATTTGAAGATATTGGGCTTCAATACATCCTAGTTTGATTTTGATTGTATCTTCTCTAGCTGCTTTACCTCCAGCTCTTGCTGCTTTTTCAAATATCTTTGCGCTGTAGCTGTAACTATCTTCACAAAGAAGTTGAGGATCATCAGCCATATCACAGTATTCCATATCAAAGTGAAGGACAGGTTCCACCGTTTTGCCTGTGGATGAAAGCGAGTAAAAATAAATTATCATTCTGGTTGCAAAACACTTCTACGAAGAAAAAGGAGGTGATAAAAGCAAAAGAGGTGATAAAAGCAAAATCAGTTTACGCAGCAGATATGAAGATTTGCACTTGCGTTTGCAGAATCACACACTAGATGGGTGTTAGTCTCACAAATTCAAATTAACTTGAAGACAAAAGGTAACTTATCACGACGTAATTACCACAAGATATCTCAATCTAATGGCCAAATAATGTAGTATGGAGTTCACAGAGTGCAAGCGATAATAAAATAGTTCAGGGTCTATAAAGTATTTATGCTCTCATACTACAAGGAGTGTAATAGTGCATCTACATAACCATTAATAGAATCCAGTGTATGTGTGCTCAAAAAAGTAACCGGATTGGGCAAAGTTGAAGTTCTGTCAAATACTGGGATCATAGTGAATATCAATTTCATAACAGATATACATGGTACCCTACCTTTGCATCCAATTGTGCAGTACCCGGAACCGGAGCTGACAAAAACTTCTGCTTGAGCATATGCAATTTGGCAATAATGCTTGGTAGTATAGCAGAGAACCCAGGAATATGTTCAAGCGCCCACAAAAACTCATTCTCCACCCATTGAAAAAGTTGATTATTGCAGACTGATATAATGAAAATAGTCTGCAAAAATAGAGACACGTTAGTGGTATATACATATATAGGATACATCTAAGATCTCTGTCTTTCTCAAAGGTTGTCATCGATTGAAGTTATTTCTCCTTGAAATAGCAAGTAAAATTAAAGGCATTTGCTTAATTATCTATATTAACTTCGCTCATCCATCCACCCAATGAAGCAACAAAATAACACAGAAACCGTTTGACTTATATATTAAGTGTCCACAATACAAAGATAAAAAATGGAGAACCAAATCACCTGTATGTGAGTCTTGACTATTGCCTTTCCAATTAATGTTGCTAGAAAGAACTTCCAAAATGGGATTCCGAATTGCCCACACATGATACCAGCAAGGTCAAATAACGGATTTGGTACCTAATAACATGGAATTGGAATAGTCAGACCCCTTTTCGTGAATGTCAAGATGTATAAAATTCCAATACGAACAAAATACCAGAAATAATCATAATGTGACCTTTTCCAAAGAGTGTTGAAAGTTTTAAGTAACTCAGCCAAGATGACAATGTCATAATCATCTATTACCAACGTGCAATTTCTTAACACATCATATTCACAATAAGAAAACTGAGTAGTAAATTCGTGTGTGAGTTATGCACATCCTCTTTATTGCAAAAAAGAAAAAAAAATCATTCCTCTCTATATGCAATGGAAAAAGGTTGTGAAGCCAGATGAACATAAAGATGAAAAGCCTTCACTTCTTCCATACAAGAGAAAGATGAGGCCTACAGCATTCGCTGTCTCCACCTCTCTACTAATGGAAGTACCTCATTTACCAAATATTGTTGTATTCATAAACTATAATAACTCAAGTGATATATTTCAGTATCCAAAAACATTGTAAGAAAATCTGACTTCAGATTCAGATCAAAAAGGAATATTATATTTGGGTACAGATTCAGAAATTTTAGATAAATACAAATACATGCATCTCAATATTTGATTGATTCTAGCCTACGTGAACTAGTAACTTGCCTGGTAATATACATGGCCAGTAAACTTCTATACACAGGAATACAACAGATTTAAGTTTCTCTAATCACTTATGGTTAGATATATGTTAGTTAGGGATGACAATTCTGGTCCAAACCCAATAACCCACCCAGATCCATCCAATATGAAACTCATCTAAACCAACCCATTTAGCTAAATGGGTCTAATAGGGTGGGTAACTATTTCTATAGAGATTAAACGGGTATTAGATGGGCGGGTCTTGACCCACCCATAACCCACCCAAACTTACCCAGCTTTGTTCCTGATTGCAAGTTGCTCTCCTCTCTAAAGATCTAATGGCGTCTTCTGAGTCTCAGTGAAGGGAAATGGAAGCAACAACCTCTCCTTCATCTCCAGCGACCGCAGCGCTGCCGGAAAAGGTTAGGATCCTCCGCTGTCACCTGAAGAGGCGGTGATGGGACTCGATTTCATTGGAAATTGTGGCTGAATGTTGTATTTTGTTTCGATTTCAGATGCTGAGGATGAGCTTTACAAGGATTTGTGTCATGCTTGTGATGGATCTCTGATTATGGCTGTGAAAGTTGTGAATTTTAGGAGTTTTTTTGGTTAATTTTGGAGTTTATAAGGTTTCACCCATGTTTCCCTTTGATTTCCTGTGTTTTTGTTCGGAAGTTTTGTTCAATTGAGGGTTACTGTGGTTTGATATTAGCACTAGAGTCGAATTATTGGCTCTAGTAGTTGATTCTCTTTATTTTGATGAAATTTCTATAATTTCTGCTAATTTCCCCCAATTATCAAAATTTCCATTAAATTTGGTGAAAATTGGCAAGCATCTGGTGCTGATTTTGATTGCGTAGTTAAGGTGAGAAGTTTCTTACAATGGGTATTCATGTACTGATTCTTTGATTAATTTTTTTTGTTTTCTCAATCTGAAATCGTTGATTTTAGTGATGTGTAATGGGTTTCATTCAGTATTTTTTTTATTTTAGTTTTTCAAATTTGTTGTCTTTTCTTTTCTTAGGTACAGACACTAAGTAATACCCCTGAAAGTTTGCAGAAATCCACCTGAAAGTTTACCAAAAACCCCCTGCAAGTTTACAGAAAACCCCCTAAAAGCTTGCAGAAAACCCCCTGAAAGTTTGCAGATAGCCACCTAAAAGTTCACAAAACCCCCTACAAGTTTACAGAAAACCCCTAAAAATTACAGAAAACCCCCTGAAAGTTTACAAGTAGATCCCTGAAACTTACATATATATAAAAACATCATAACTAAATGGGTTATTGGGTCACCCATGAACCACCCATTTAGTAAATGGGTGGATGAGAAGTGATCCATTTACCAAATGCTAAATGAGTCATAAATGGTCAAGTGGTCATAAATGTGCCCACCCATTTATGACTCAACCAAGACCCAACCAAAACCACCCATTTGACAATACTGTTGTTAGTTCAAATGATTTTCCAGCAGGACTTATAACATAAACAAATGTCTCTAAATGCATCTTTACATAAACATGGAAGAACTAGACTAACCGAAGCAAGTAGGAAGATTGTGAAAAAATTCAGATGCTGCGAATGAGTAAGAAGCCAGCGTTTTATTTGCTTTACAGATGCAGCCATAAAACCATCCTCTTTTGAAGAAGTAGCATCCAATTCTTCCATGGCTTCAAATTTACTTCCTGATATACGTGCTGCAAGACATTTCTAAGTTAAGATGGAAAAATTCCAAGATCAATAGCTCAGTTTGTCCAAAAAGTTTATTTATCTGCAACTTAAATATAGCCAGGTCTTAAAGACTAACCATAATATAGGAACTTAAGTTATGTGAGATACCATTATGTCAAATGAAATAACACAAATGTTACATACATTCTCTAAAATTTTATACATAATGAAATTTAAATTTACAGATCAAGGAGCTAGAACAATTATTTTGCAGTGCTCTCCACAGATAAAGGAGGCAAAAGAATTTACAGAAGATTATATGCAAGAGAAATTACCTGCCCTTGATATAAAATAAGGTGGAAGCTCGCCAAGTGCAGTTCCAATGCCCCAAAGAATGGCCTCCAGCTGAACCTGAGGAAGCAGCTTGCTTAGTGGAACCTTTACAAGCGATTCAGGGGTTGATGTAAATAATGGAGGTCCAAATTCTGCGCAATCTTTGTCAAGCCATGAAGGTCCTCTTTTCAGCTGTATAGTATCATATGGAGCGGTTTTCAAATCGATACGGCCACATTGGACAGCTTTGATTGTAAAGAATGCAATATGGGGACCGAGATACAAAACAAATGTGTGCAAACCAGATCCTGCAGGAAAAAAGTAGTATGAAATGATGATTGATTAAGACACATTCAAAAGGTAACAAATGAAAATTATGCATACCGAGTCCAATTGACGATGCCACACCAAGCACAACCCACCACAATGCAAACTTGGAGTAAGAAAGAAACTCCTGCACATGCTGGTCACACGTATACGGGTGAACAAACAAATAATCAAATGTTGTTTAAACAACTTCACTCCAAAAAGCACGGTCATGAGTAGCAGTCGATAACTTGAATTATTATTCTAGACATGAAGAAAACTAAATAACATATGCAAACATTACATAGTTTATTAGTCATTTCAAATTATTCTAGACATGAAGAAAACTAAATAACATATGCAAACATTACATAGTTTATTAGTCATTTCAAATTATTCTAGACATGAAGAAAACTAAATAACATATGCAAACATTACATAGTTTATTAGTCATTTCAAATTAATGCTAGATTTCCATCAAACTAATCTATTAAATTAAACATGAGTCTTACAAAACAATCCTTCAACGCTGAAATAGATTTGATCGATGAATATGGCGCTACCACTAAAATATGGAAATAGTAATAGCTAAAGAAGGAGACAATTACCTTTTCATGAGGGCCATCAGTAGCTACGAGAAGAAGTCCAAAACACACAAACAGGATAGATAAGATCGTAAACCAAACACCTTTTGTCAAAATATATAGGAGTGAACGTTTCATATACAATGCACTAGCAAATATGAAAAACTTAAATGTTTTAAGAGGTTGTGTGGTCAGTGTCAAATTGTCCAGATCAATTTGATGCTTCTCACGAAGTTCTGCAAAAGAAAGCACAAATAAATATCAAAATGTCAAGAATATATAAATCCCACAAACTCAAACTTAATTTGATAGTTGTAAATTGGTAGCAGACACAAAATCATGTGAGCGCTTATAACACAACCGCAGATGTGTATTCATCTCCCTAGTTTTTTCCTTGCAAAGTATTTACAAAATACTCTCTCCCAGGCAGCAAGGATCAATATTACCAAATTCAAGATATTTGTTAGGGTCCATCGAGCCAACATTGACTAAATGGGGAGTCAATTGTGGGTTTAGGAGGGATTCGGGTTCCCTCCCCCTAACAATTAGCTTTTAGAGGTGATTTCTGACTTCATCATTGCAATGTTCGCTCGAGACTAGTCCAGCATAAAGTCGAAGGTGTGACACCAGGATTGCAGTGTTCGACGGGGACTTTGACTAACGCAAAGTCAACCAGCATGTGTGCTTGCTAGCACAGCAGAAATGTGGTGGTCCGCTAGGTCCCCGTTGACTATAAATGGGAAATCAACTGTGGGTTTATTACAAGGGATTTGGGAGATTCTCCTTCTTTTGTCAATTTTTTTCGAGGACATTTGCCATGTCGAGAATAACAGTTAGTAAATCATGTCGTTTTCAATCCTAGATCATCAGCTCAAATACTGACCTGTCTCAGATCAAGAGAAACTCATAGATTTCAAACCAAAAAGAAAAAAAAAAGATTCTTTTCGAGACATTTAATAGCAATAATTTCGAAAAAAAATAAATCTAGCTTGTATCTTTCCCAACTAAATCGAATCTACACAAAACTAGCCATCACTACCTCACATTTTCCAAAACAAGTTCCATCATCCAAAAGATAAACCATCATCAAAAACCGTGAAAAATACAAACTCACCGGAAATCGCCGCATCATCGGTCCCCATATCCGCAAATTTTTCTGCCAAAAACACAAAACCCTAGATTCTCCCTTCACACGGGAACATTCAGATCTGAGGTCGAGAGCTCAAAACTTCGACGAAATTTGTCCAGGGTTTTCTGAGATCAAGGAGAAGAAGCTATAAAGCTTGCAACTTTTTTTTTTTTCTATCGCGGACGAAAACGCTCCGAAAAAACGTTGTTTTCGTTCGACCGTGGTTTTTATTCACGCAGACGCGGTGCTTCGCTAATAAAGGAAGGGGAGGGGGGAGGGGTTACAACTTACATTGATATTTTATTGATTTTTTTAGAATTAATGTGGGGGGTATTTTGGGCTTTTTACAAGGCTTCATTACAACGAAAAGATTGGATTCGCCGAGCGTCTGACAGTGATTGGATCAGGTCGGGTCACCTTACTTGGGGCTTCGCCTGGTCTTGTTTGTGACCGCGTCAGCATTATTGGGTGCAAACCGATTAAATCGACTCAACCAATCAAATTTTGACAGCTCAGTTCAATAATTTCAAAATATGTATCATGTCAGTTGATTCGACCGTTATTGTTCCGATTAATTTGCATATCGTTCATTTATCAATCTTTTAACACGCGCATTTTTCTTGTGCCAATTTTATAACACGAGGCGTCTTTCTTTTAGGGCCTGTTTGGTTATTTCCCAAAAAACCAAAAAATAGAAATGAAAACTAGGAAATCTCAAAGAGTACAATTTCACACATTTCCATCCCTAAAACTCACCCACAACATCTAATAAAATATTATTTTTATCAAACAACTCATCCACCACATCTAACAAAATATTATTTTCATCCAACAACTCATCCATCACATCCACCACATCTAATAAAATATTATTTTCATCCACAACATCACTCAACTCATCTCATCTCATATTTAAAAATCACTCACATCATCCAATAAGATTGTGACAACTCATCTCATCTCATTAACATTTTATTTCTTTGTTTTCCTCCCAAAAAGCTAGGAAAACAATTTCCTTAAGTGTGAGTCACATCATCCAATAATATAATGACAACTCATCTCATCTCATCTATTTTCTTATTTTTAAGAAATAACCAAACAAAAGAAAACAACCTATTACAAGAAATATGTTTCTTATAATTCATTTCCTTATTTTTTCCGCCAACCAAACAACATCAAAACAAGTTTTCTTAAAAAATCACTCACATCATCCTATAATAAGGTGACAACTCATCTCATCTCATCTCTATTTCTTTGATTTCCTTCTTTTTTTAGTCAACCAAACAATCCCAAAACCTATTTTTCTTAGAAATAGGTTTCCTTTTCTTTGATTTCCCTCTTTTTTTAGGCAAACAAACAACCCCTTAGACCAAAGCTTAGATGAGTCCAATCCAAAACCGAATAAATCGAACCAATCGAACTAACTTCGATCGGTTCGATTCAATTTTAAATATAGAATGGTTCGGTTTGTTTTGTCAAAATTACTCAGAACCGACCAAGCCGACTGAGTACTCGCACCTAAGCTTGAGGCGCTTGTTTAGGCCATTTATTTTGTCGTGTTCATTTTATTTTTTGTTTTTCTTGATGTAGTTGGAGCATCAATCTTGTCCCAAGTGCAATCACAAGCTACAGTACCTTTTTGTTGAGAATAATTGATAGTATAACAAAAGCATTTGCATAATCATGTTAATTGAATCCTAATGTTAGAACACTATTTTAATTTAAATGTTGCATCAACGCTCCTGTTTAGTGTATTTAACATTGAGAAACATAGCTTAACTTCAATCGTTGACACTTATTGATATTGGAAATGATGAAATTAAATCTTATATAGATACTAAGTAACTCAAATGTTCTCTTATCTCTTTCAATATATTTAACATTGAGAAACATAGCTTAACTCAGATGTTCCGTCAATCATGAATTGTACACAAATCAGTAAAAGCAAAATAGATGGGAAACTAGTATCATCAGTCCCCAAAACTTTATTTGAACTTGTGAAATGCCAATGTAGGGACACGGAGCTTGGTGGTGAAATTACTTTCAATAATTTTAGTTGATAATAGAGGAGTTTGTTAAGTTTTAGGTCCATGGTCACCGAGTTCAAGGAGGTCAAGACGAACATTTGAGTTTTAATGTTGTTTAAATTAGAAAGAGGGAGGGATTATGACCTTTTCTCCAAAGAAAAGATATCCTGAACTATTATAACCTTTATTTCTTGTGTTTTACTTATACCTTCTCTTTTCTTTATAATTTGACTTAATTAAGAATATAACATAATACTGAAAGTATGGGATTCGCGGGTGATTGATATCATTGCTCGACATCCTGATCATGAAATTATTATCGGCATTGATACACTTGGAGAAGAATACCTATTGCTTCAGAGTGCAGACGCTCAAGATATAAAGGTACGTATGTCACCTGTTTTACTCAATTGATTTTTATGCTTCAAGTTAATGCTATAAAATGCCCTCTGTCTTAATACTTAATTTTTTTTTTACAATCTCTGTGTGTACTTCTGCATGGTAGCTTGAGCTGTAGGCTCGGCGTATTGATTATTTTCTTTCTTCTGTATGGCATCTGTGTATGTGGGGGTGATGTTGGGGGGGGGGGGTTGGAGGTTATCCCTTAGAGGCTGTACTATTTTTATTGTTTTGCACGACAAAGACATGCCTTACAAGAGTTAGAGCTGTTCCTCGATCGATACAATGTCACCTTCGACACCCTAGATAATACACTTCATCCCACCATTAGGATTATTCTCTATGGACTTCCATGGATGAAACCTGGTTCTCTGGGAAATAGCATGTCAGAGAAGCAGTATTTCTATTCAGTTTCATACTCTGAACATTCATGCTTCAGTGAAATACAAGAATTTATCAATATCGTTCAGCCATCAACAGTCACCGGGGTTGTCTCTTCATCCTTTTGTTATATCAATCCACGCCAGTATTTTCGTCGTCCCTACGGAGACGCTCATCTTTCTTATAAACCAGAAAAGGCCGAGGCTAGACAAAAAAAATCCAGTCTTAAATCAGAGGCAAGAAGACAAGTGAAGATTAAACTGATAGTTTAAGGGTGCGCAGAAGAAGAACGTGTATCCTCATATCATCTTATAAGCTCTCAATGACGCATCAGTAACTAAACATTCTAGGAACATAGAAATAAACGACTACATTGCAAAACATTGATAATAGGCGAATATAGATAAAGAGAAATCTTTGAATAAGATAAACAACACAAGAAAATCACAAACTAGGGCTAAATTTATTGCAGGTAATTTATGTGAAAGGTAAGCGATCGTTCAATTTAAAAAGAAGCACACAACCATAACTCAGTTACAACTAATTTGCAATTTACAATGCAATTTTCCATAAACCATTCAACTAATTGTAGATCCACGAGTCCATTCCATTCTTTGTCTTTTGAGTTCTTAGGGGAACAATTAAACTATGATCCAAACTTATACACGTATTAGCTTGTATCAGAACAGTGCTCCCGCTACTAAAAGCTCTAACAAACAACAATATGCCATAGAGCAAACTCGGAATACAATATCAAAATGTCAGCCTCAAACAGATCAGTCTTCTTACACAGCAACAACAAATATTACATGCTGCACTCAAGCTACTCTTTTGGTGCTGGCATCAACCGAAGCCTATCCTCCGAACTTCTGTCACTAACTTTTTCCTCCCATAGAAGTGACCTTAAGTCACTTCCATTCGCCAAACTGTTGAACTCAACAGACTTCGATGGAAGTGCGGGGTACCTTCTCTGACAAAAGGTCATGAGTCTCTTCACAGATTGCAAGTACTTGCGAGTTGTCTCGTCATTCATGATGTGCGCCACACTGTTCGTGTAGATTTTTTCACGTGCAGAACGCTCATGGATACCAACCATAGTGACTCCTATAGGCCAGGGTGCGTTTCCAATGGCGAGTTTGATGTACTGGTCCATCGCGGCTAGATAATCTCGTTTCATGCAGCAACGAACCACCACCATTAGGGCTCGTCGGATGTCATCCTGAAGAACCTATAGATCACAGGGAAAATCACTATAAAGGAACATGTGGCTCATGTACGGGTGACCTATAATGATGATATTTAATGCTTGACGTATAGAGATATATAAACAGTTCTGAAGTTGGTGGCAAGCCAATTTATCGAACTAACAGTAGAAAGATGAACAAAAACTATCTATATTCTAGTTTGACGATACGCTACATAAAATGGACATAAACATGGAGATCTTCAAGTTAACATGTGCTTAAATCAAAACCAATGCAGTTTTTATACTGGGCATAGCATTCCAAATGGGGATGGAAAATTGTTCATGTTCCAGTTGTCCAAACACTATAAAACATGGAGGACAAGATGAAGATCTTCAAGTCAAAATGTACTTTAACTAAAATTAACGCAGCTCTTCTACTGCGCATAGCATCTAGCACATGACAAATAGAGTGAAAAAACTAACAGTGTAATAAGTAGCAAACCCCTGGTGGACAGAAAAAATAAAAAATTTATGCAACAGTCTTTGGCGAGGTTTGAAGTACTGGTGGCATTGTATTCAAACATGCTGGTCCAATCCCATTAGAGATTGGCCAACATCACCAAATTGGCTAAAATGGAGTAGACAAACTTATATTGATTAATAACGCCTAAAATACAAGAAAAGGCTTAAGGTTTGAAGTACAAAAATTCGACTTGATAGTGTTACACTGGAACAAAAATAAAATAAATTCTAATGAATATAAAAAGATTGTTGTAAACTTGTAATATCCATAAATATTTTGGTTTTTTAGCTAATATTTCATTACCTATAAAGATGTAGTGACAATTTAATAAATCTCAAGGTTATTCCTTCTTATTCTATTCAGAAGTGTAACCCTGGCATAGTCTCATTGTCATATGTTGGCACCTGGTAATGAAGACCATATGATCTAGTGCAGTTACTCCGTCTTTATTTTAGAAGGTCGAGTTATCGCACACAAATGAAAATTTAAGTCAAAGTTGCAAGCCCCTCAAAATGAAGGTTAGCGCGTAGAATTTAGAAAGTAGATAAACCAAACTTTCATTTGACTTTATGTAGGACAAAATAATGATGTAACACCCGATTCACCGATTGTGTACTCGACTCGAGATATCAATCCTTAAAAGATTCAAATCATAATAAATGAATATATTGTCTTCTTTCTTAAATCTGCTGAGTTCGCTGCAATTTGCATAATACACAACTAGTGGACTCTCCATAATCATTTATGTTATTCTTGGGGTATTATTTTCTAATTGCAAGTTCGTAACTATGCAACTCTGAGGTGAGCAAGGACTTATTTTGAAGATCCCAAATACAATCCCATTATGCTAAATAGCCTTCTTCCCGAGTGAAATGACATTTATGTAAATTTAAGAGCCATTTACTAGACCATTAAAGAGTTTAGCCATAAAAATTCAACAGATAACTAACGTCAACCCAAATTGTTCAAGCATGATAACGTAACAGCCTAAAAAGAAATCAACTTTCACCCAAAAACACTAATCAAACAATCAAAATAAAAAAGCTAACAAATTATCCCCATACCTTCTTCCGGCAAAACTTGAACAGAGGATGCAAGTACCTCTCGCACTGCTTAAACTTCGCAACCATCGACTTCCCCGCTGCCGTCCTCGTCTCCGCTTCCTGCGTCTCCTCCAACTCCTGGTTCCACTCGTTCAACAACCTCTTAAAGAACACCAGTATCTTATCCTCATCACACAAATCCTCGAAATTCGCCCTCATCCTCTTCCCGTCTTTATCCCCTCCCTCTCCTTCACTTCCCCCGTCTCCATCCCCATCCTTCTCATCGTCCCCGTCTCCATCCCCATCTCCTCTCTTCTCCTTCTTCCTCTCATTCATCGACCCCCGCTTCTGCCTCTTCTGCAGCTCACAAATATCCCTCAAGAAATCATTCGTTTGCCCTTCGGTCATATCACTGTCGATCTCAAGGACCCCTGATTTCAGTGTCGTCTTCAATCGATCGAGACGGGCAGCGTCATCCTCGCCGAAAAGGGTTATGGGGAGCTTTAAGATCCGCAACCGACGGACGACTTCGGTCCTCGGGAGGTCGAGGTCGTCGATCTTCTGCTCCTCGGTTAGGGTTTCGGGGGTCTTCTTCTTGGACTTGAGGGTTGGGATCGGGAATTAGGGTTTGGGGATTGGGCTAGGGTTTGGGGATTTGGGGGCTTTTTGGATTGGAGAGACCGGTGCTCCTCTTCTCGGATCTTTTGGATCTCTTTCTTCTCGATTTCGGAGCGTTTGAGGAGCTTTTTGCCGCCGAAATCGGATTGAAGAGATTGGCGCTTTCGCTGGAGTTCTTGCTTCAACAGATCCATGGCTGATCGACAGAGAGCGGGGGTCGAATTGCCATCATCAAAACCGCCTAAAGGGTTATGTGTAGAGTTTTCTTTGGTGTTTTTGCTTTTAGGCCCAAACACATATCATGATTAATGCTTAGACCCAATTATGTTTCTTTGTATCTTCGGATTCAATCTTTAAGGGCATGTTTGGTTATTTTCTAAAAAACCAAGAAATAGAAATGAAAACCACAAAAACTCAAAAAGTACAATTTCATTCATTTCCATCTCTAAAACTCACCCACAACATCTAATAAAATATTATTTTTATCCAACAACTCATCAACCACATCTAATAAAATATTATTTTTATCCAACAACTCATCCACCACATCCACCACATCTAATAAAATATTATTTTCATCCAATAACTCATCCACCACATCTAGAGTGGTGTTAGGGGCACACTCCCTACCACACCACCAACCACACCCCCCTCTCCCATCGTTACAGTAAACCGGGTCTCACATGGGATTTTAAAAATTTTTAAATTCCATATGGGGCCCGGTTTACTGTAGCGATGGGAGAGGGGGGTGTGGTTGGTGGTGTGTTAGGGGGTGTGCCCCTAACATTATTTTAAAATATTATTTTCATCCACAATATCACTCAACTCATCTAATCTCAACATTTCAAATCACTCACATCATCCAATAAGATGGTGACAACTCATCTCATCTCATTAACATTTTATTTCTACCTATTTCCTCCCAAAAAACTAGAAAAATAATTTTCTTAAGTGTGGGTCACATCATCCAATAATATAATGACAACTCATCTCATCTCATCTATTTTCTTATTTTTAAGAATGAACCAAACAAAAGAAAACAACATATTACAAGAAATAAGTTTCTTATAATTCATTTCCTTATTTTTGTGCCAACCAAACAACATCAAAACAAGATTTCTTAAAAAATCACTCACATCATCCTATAATAAGATGACAACTGATCTCATCCCATCTTCGTTTCTTTGATTTCCTTCTTTTTTTAGCAAACCAAACACTCCAAAAACATTTTTTTTCTTAGAAATAGTTTTACATTTCTTTGATTTCCCACTTTTTTAGCCAAACAAACACACCCTAAACCCAAATCCTCAAATACACTTTGTACTTATGTGGTCCCCCCATAACTATACAAAAAAAATTTTCCATTGTGACTCCCTCTCTATAAATCCTCTTTATAAAAAACGGTTTTTCTATAGAGTGCCCATGAGCACTCTATAAGAGACGAGAGAGATAGAGAGAAATGAATTATGCACAAAAATTAATACAAATCAGGGCGTCCCATGAATTATTCATTTCTCTCTATCTCTCTCCTTTCTTATAGAGTGTCCATGGGCACTCTATAGAAAAACCGTATAAAAAAAAGGAAATCGTAAGAATTTGTTTAAATGAATTTATCAGATAAAATAAAGGACTTTTCCATATCAGTCCCCTACATCTTGCTTATATTGATAAAAGTCCCCAAATAGCGATTTTGAGTCGATTGTGTTTTCTGACGTTGTTTTGCGTTAAAGAATTTGTTTGTGATTTTAGAACCTTTCTGCGATTTTAATTTGTTAAACGAGTTAGGGTTCATAGTTGTATGCGTAAGGGTCACATGGGGACTGCAACAAATTCTGCGAAAGATGGTAAAAAAATAAAATGAAATAAACTCTCGTTCTAATCGTAACCAGGACCTAATTAACTAGGAGGACTTTTTTCATAATACCACCATCTTTCCTAGATTAAGGAGCAACTGCATTCATTTCCCTCGTGATGCCATTGGTAATCTAAACCGCGAGAATTATTCCGCCGATCTAGATGACGATGACGATTTTCGAACTCAATTGATCTATAATTTGGGAGATGGGAGCTGCTACAGGGATTCAAAATATGACACTAAGAGAGAGGACATATGAGGTGTTCCCCTCCTATTACATAATAAGCTAGCATGACTAGCTCTTATGTAATAGGGAGGGGACACCTTACTCGTCCTCTTCTTTGGTCCCATATCTTGGGTCCTTAAGTCATTTTTCTTTGGGAGATGAAAGCTGGGAGCAATATGACTCGGATGATTTTTTTTTTTTTTTTTTGGGGTTGGGAGCAATATGACTCGGATGATTTTTTTTTTTTTTTTTGGTGGTTTATGGATGACGCCTTGTCTATTATCAAAGAGACCTCCTGCTCTATCAAGATATATGGAGGAGTTTCCTCACATAATAGAGAGCTACATGGCTTAATCTATTTTGATTCAGAGTGAGATTTTAGGATTTTCATGTTTGATCGAATTAATTTGCTTGCGATTTCATTTTTCGAGTAATTACCTCATAAGTATCCAACCTAAAAAGACCAAAGAGAAAAGAGAAATATATTTATGTTAAAAGTTTATCAAAATGTGTTTTTTTTTTGTCGAAATCAAAACTGAACTCATCCCATCCTAGTTGTCTTAGAGGATCAGGCTATTCAAATTCTCTACGACTAATATTATTCTAAACTTTCTCCAATATTAATGAATAATATTCTTTACACCTCTCAGTTTCTCCTAAGATCACCTCTTTTTTAACTCTTTCTTTTCCGCTGCCTCATGATCATCCTTTGTTGCAATATAAGGTGTTTTTTGTTAGATGTAGTTGGAACCCTATATAGTTCCTACTATATCTAAGTTATCATAATTTTATTTGCTTAGATATTGTTGTAACACTTAAAAAGTTGTTGCAATAATAAAATAAGTCAAAAAATATAGGTATTAGAAGAACACTCACATTTAAGAGTATTGTAACACCATCAACAATTGTTGTTCAAACTCTTTCTAACCAAACACACCGGTAAATGCAGTTGACCATCGTATATGAATGCAAGGTTTGAAGCGATGGGGGAGAATCACTGAAATTCCAAAACTTTCCTTTTGAGTTTTTTAGCTAAGTATTTAGCTTGAAATTAGCAATAGTTTTTTTTTTTTTTAAAGTTGTGCATTGAGCTATAATCACTCTCAGTTACATGTTTGTTTTGAATGGATGATTGGGAGATCGATTGAGGGACGTACTTTTCATAGAAAAATATACAATCTTATCCCTAACAAAAATTTTAGCATCTCGATCATATATTTTATGATTTCTTTAAGATAGTTGTATATGCAATGAAGAAATTCAAACATTCGTATTATCCCCCCCCCCCACCCCACCCCCACCAAAAAAAAGGGGGGATGGACATACTTCTCATAGAAAAATATACAATCTTTTCCCTAACAAAGATTTTAGCATCTCATATATTTTATGATTTCTTTAAAATAGTTGTACATGCAATGCATTGAAGAAATTCAAATACTAATATTATCTAATTGGGGGGAAAAAGGAAACAACTGTAAACATAGGTGATTATACACTAATCATATTTTATTTTTAATGTCCACATAAACCACCTTTAAAGTATGTTTTTGTTGCAATTAACCACATTTCAGTCACAATTTCACAAAAAATAAAAAATAAAAAAATAATCTTAGAAAATTCAAATTCAAGCAACATGGGTAATATACTAACCAAACCCAAACACAAGGAGAATGAGTCATATGCCTTAAATACTAGTTTTTAAGGATAATTTTTAGCTTTTAGTGGAGAATTTGACTAGTTAGTGGTTGATTGCAACAAAAATCTAATTTAAAGGTGATTTATGTATAAATTAAAATGAAACCCGGTATATAATTATCTTATTTTTTATTTTGTTTTAGGGGGAAATAATCCTGTCTAATTAGAGTAGATTCTGTACTTCTCTCTTTATTTGTTTCGACTTTATTATTGATAATAGCTGTAGAGGTGGAAGTGTGAGAAAAACAAATGCTAAATCGGGACATGGGAGAATACAGTCGCAAGGCTCTTAACCTTGTGGTCGTGGGTTCGAGCCCCACGGTGGGCGCATTTATTTTTCTGAAAAAAACAATACGGTTACATAAAATGAATCTCTCATATAGATTTTTATTTTGATTAGCAGTGGACTATTAAAAATGTACTGTACAACAAAATAAGAGCTGCTGGATATTTTTTTGCTTTATAATTAATTACAGGCGCGTTTTGCCCCCTTCCTCATTTCATTTTGCTAGCGTAACTCGTAATTGACGGGTCAATGAAGAAGCAAATAACAATTTTTTGTAGGATGTTGTGGTTGGAGTTGAGGTAATCTTTGGGTAACAATTCCTTTATTTGGAATGCTATTTTGATAGTACTGTGAGAAGTTGCAAGTAAACCTCCTCTGTATGATTCTCACTCTTGCGTTTTTTGGGGGTATAATAGGCGCCATATTCGATGCATGTACAAACACATACGATTAAGTATCATGGTTTATATACGGACAACACTTCAAAAGATAAAAATGTTATGCACCACTTGACCAAATTGTTATCGACAAAAATGAAATGTTTTGCCCTACACGTGGAATCATCCCACGTACCTGATATTTATTATTGGCCTTGGGATGACAATTAATTAAAAAAAAGTAGGAGAAATAAAAAAGCTTCTCATTTGCTAGATAACCCTAAAGAAAGCAAGTCATATATCATCTACTTTAGTGATAGAATCTGATTGGTTTCTTTGATGAGTCCGTACTTCAAAGTTTGGTGGATGTTTTATCAGTCCCCACCCCCCAACTATTTTAGTTTTTGAATAGAGAGAGCTTTAATTGGAAATTTTAAATTTGAGATAATAACTTTCATTGGTAGCCAATTCTAATTAGATCCACTTCTTATTAACTAGTACAGTGCATGTATTTTATACATAGACGTACTTAGGTTTTATCTTTTAAATCTTTTTTATGTAATTTGTTATAATTTATTGTAACGTTTGATCTTGGGAGTAAAACCTTGATGACTTATTTGTAATTTTCTTATTGTTAAAATAAACATTTCAATGAGGTTCATTTTGAAGTTTACTCTAATTTATTAGTTTTAAATTTATGAATTTTTAGGGTTCTGCGTGCAAATTTTTTAGATTTATTCTGCAGAATTATGAAAATTAAGGGTTTACTTATAAACTTTACAAACTTATAATGTTTTTATAAAACTTGATACTAACTATAGAATTTATAATTTTGGGAATATATAGAAGGTGTATCTATCTTTTAAAACTTCTTAAAAGCCTAAAGATATACTTTCGTATAGTTATGAATTGAGAAATTTTGTAGCTAGGGTCTTATATGCAAATTTGCAATATAATATATTATTTTAGAGGAAATACTTACTGTAAAATATATTTTTACATATTTTTGTATAAATATGCAAATTTTGTGAGTTGCAGGGTTTATTTTTGCAAAATCTATAATTTTTGGAAGTATTTTGGGTTTTTTTAACATCATTTTCATTCTTCATTTTCTATATACATTTGCTAGAAAATAAAAACAGTAATCATAAAGAAAACTACTCTTCAAACTTACAAGGAAAGGTGTAACAGAGAAGTAAAATAAAAAAGAAAAATCACACAATATTTGTTATCAGCAACAAAGATTTATAGTTGGCAAAAATCAAAGAAAATAATAAAGATTTATAGAAATACAAATGGGTAATTGGAGTATGAGGAGGGGATTTGGGCACCTACAAAATCAAACAAAATAAATTAGTAGATAATTAATGACAAAAACATATTGCTCTCTATCCTCCTTAATCATCTTTATACCTAAAAGATTACATGACAATTTTTATATTCCATATAAACTGAGAACTATAAGAAAATCAATGCATAAAGTTACAAATTTTATGATTTGCAAAATATAAAATCCCACCTCAAAATTGGGTTCTTAATAAAACATTGCACCACTCAAGAACAAAGCAGAAGCATAGAGGGGAAGTCGTTGGGTTAGATTAATTTAACAATGACGCTGTCGAAGAAGTCATTGATGAGAGGAAGACGTCGAGGAGGCAGCAGATCTAGGAGAGGGAGAGATCATCATCAGAGGAGAGGTCGGAGAAGTGGTCAGTAACCCTAACTCTAATCCTACGCATTTTTGGGGTATATCTTGATTTTATAAGAATTGGGGGAAGGGTGTGGAGGGCAATAGCGAGAGGGGAGGAGGAAATGGGATAGAGAGAGAGAGAGCAGGAGAGAGGAATTTAGATAGCCTAATTCAATGACTGTGGTAGTTATTTAATTACCCATGATATTAATTACCCATCTAGGGTTAGTACTAACTTAACTACAATTCACTAATTTTAACCATGATATTAATAGAAGGACCGTTATCAACAACTAAATGCAATTTGAGGGGCTAATATCAAAATACGAAGATTTGAAAGACTAATATCTACAAAACCAGATCTGATAAAAAAAACCCAGACAGACGGTTTTATAGGTAACAAGTTTTTTTTGTTCTCTTTCTGCCCCTCAGGATCCTTCGTTCCCGGCCCCGCCCCCCAAAACCCCCAAACCAAAACCCTAACTCCGGCCGATGTCCGCCTCCTCACGGCCGCGTCAGCCGGCGCCTTACAGCCCCTACCGGCCTCCTCCACCACTCTCCGCCACCACTCCAGCGCCGTCTCCTGCGTCAAGTTCTCCACTGACGGCTGCCTTTTCGCTCCGCCTCCCTCGACAAAACCCTAGCCGTCTTCTCCTCCTCTGACCCCACCTCAGGCCCCATAGCCGTCCTCTCCGGCCACTCCGCCGGCGTCTCCGACCTCGCTCTGGTCCTCCGACTCCCGCTACGTCGCCTCCGCCTCCGACGACCGCTCCCTCCGCATCTGGGACCTCAAATCCAAAACCTTCGACTGCGTCCGGACCCTCCACGGCCATCAGAACTTCGTCTTTTGCGTGAATTTCAACTGTCAGTCCAACTTGATTGTGTCGGGGTCGTTCGATGAGACGATCAAGGTTTGGGATGTTCTTGGCGGAAAGTGTGTGAAGACGTTTGAAGGGCACGAGGCTCCGGTGACCTCGGTGCATTTTAATAGGGATGGGTCGATTATCGTGTCCGGGAGCCATGATGGGACCTGTAGGATTTGGGATACGGCGACGGGGGCTTGCTTAAAGGTGCATGTTGAGGATAAGGTGCCGAAGCCCGCGGTTTCGTTCGTGAAGTTCTCGCCAAATGGGAAGTTTGTGCTTGTTGCGGCGCTGGATAGTACGCTGGTATCTCTTCTTTAACTGTATTTCTTTTAGTTTATTTGTGATGTTGTTAGTTTGCTACTTGTTGATGAGTGAATCTTCTTGCTTTGAGTGTTCCTTATGTGAAAGATGAGGTGATAGTTTGAACTATTGAAAAAATTAAGCATGTGATGTCTTGTTTTTGGACCTTAATTGAAAGAAGTTATAAGATTATAGCCAATTGGGTAAGGAGGACTAGAGGTAGGCCTAAGAGAAATTGCTTTGAACCAAGCAATTAAGGATGATATGATAATAGTAACTTAACAGAGGACATACCCCTCCATAGAACTGAATAAAAGAATGAAATTCATGTATCCATCCCCAAAATTGGTGATAAAGGCTCTGATGTTGTTGTATGAACGTCTTATTTTTCTAAGGTTCTACCAAGAACATAACTAGAAGTGCAGAGATGAGTGTATGATGATGGGAGAGGATTTGGGAGTCTTAAGGTTTATGATATGGGATCCTAATGCGTTACATGAAATGGCTGTAGTAATGATTATTTTTCATATTTACTAATTTGATGTGTGAGCAGAGGTTATTTTTCATATTTACTACTTTGACGTGTTGATTAGACCATAGTAATGATTATTTTTCATAGTAATGATCTGGCATCTACCTTCCTTGAATGCTAAAACTTGATAGACCATAGTCACTCTACCAAAAGGGACAACTTGTTGATTAGATTGTATTAGATTATGTCTAGGAAGGACGTAATGGCTTGAAAACCAGAATACAGTTTAATTGCAACTTGAATTTGACCAACTACATGGCAGATATCAACATGTGTTTCTTTTATGTGGGTGTACCTAGCTTCCATTGTGAAGGTGTGTAAACTTGTGCAGCACGATTGCGAAATGGCAAGTAAATGAACTAAAGACTACTTTTACATGTAAATAAAGAAATGTAAGGTGATGGTTAATGCTATTACTTCATTTCATTGATAGTCCTACACCTGGTTGCTTTTATGGCTCACCTGATTCTGAATCTGCACTGGAAGGAATACCGTGTGGATGCTTTTCTACTTCGTGCACTGGTTTTGGGAGTTATGGATTCCTCAGCTTCAGATACTGATATCTGGGCTTCAACAGCATCATTTGAAGAAATGAAATGTTTCAGGTTGTTCAAAAGCAAGCAAATATTTTCCAGACAGTGTGACGCTCAATATTTCAAGCCTGTTGATGACTCCCATACTCGGCTATTGACTTCTGTTTTAGGTGTCTAGATTCTAATTTTCTTCAGCCGTACTGCCTTATAAGTGTATTTCCTTTGATTTTTCTTCTACATTCACTCATCAACATTTGTTTTATTAAGTGCTCTGGACATTTAGATCACCCATTTTCTTTGCATTTTCATTTAGAAAACTATTCTGTGAAAGTTTCTCTCTTGAATATGTTTTGGTATCTTAATGACACGAAACATTTGGAAAGCTTTGGTATCTCTTATTTTCCGAAGGATTGTCCAATGGATATTGGATGCTTGTACTTTGGTCATGTGTTGTTATCTTAATGACGTGAAATGCACAGAAAGTTTTATTTGCCATGTCTCTTATTTCTACTTTTTCCATCACTCTGCAGAAGCTATGGAACTATTCTCAAGGAAAGATTGTAAAAACATATACAGGACATGTCAACAAAGTATATTGCATCACATCTACATTCTCTGTGACAAATGATATTTGTGGGATCTCCAAAACAAAAATATGCTACAGAAATTGGAAGGTCACACTGACACTGTCATTTCAGTCTCTTGCCACCCTATTGAGAATAAAATTGCCTCTGCTGGTCTTGATAATGACAGAACAGTGAGGATCTGGGTTCAAGATACTAGATAAAGCTTCTGAAGATTAAAAGGAAACTTCGAGGTAAGTTCTTTCCCCACACATTATCACTATTTTGCATGTTACTTTTCTGGAACTTTTTTTCTAAATCTCTTATCCTTCAAAGTATTCATAATCTGAATCATACCTCTAATGTGAATGGCTATTGTGTGGCCAATTAGTGTCAATTCAAAACCTATCCAGTTCATGGAGAACAGAAATGTTCTGACATCTCTTCATGCAATAACCAAGCACACCTAGCTTGCATAAGGAGTTTCAAATCAGCTAGACTACTATCTAATCTTCTACTTGAAGGTATTAGTTAAGGATTCTTTAGGTGCAAACAGTTAACTTACAAGTTGTATTAACAAAACAAGCTTGTCGTATTAGGACAGAGGGAACTCATAGTCCTATTGTACGGAGCGTTTGTCTCGAACTCCCAGTCCATGACATACTCATGCTCCCAACTGTTGATGGCTTGATGCCATCCACAGCACTAATCTTATTCAGTTTGAACCTTAGTAATCTGTAGCATAAGTTCTGCTCAAGTCATCTTTGGCACTGATCTTATTTCAGTCTGAACAAATATATGCGTAACTTACGAATATACCTGGATGCCAATGTTTGCGTCTCGCCATGATGCATCTCCCGCATAGTGCTTGAAGATGCGGAAAACATTCTCTGTACTCCCCTGGTTTTGTTGTAGTTCATCGGATGGCCCACTTAGGCGGACAAAAAACAGCTCCTAGCCTCCAGTTCAAAATCCATGTACATCATTCTGATGGAGACTTTAGCTATTGTCTTGAGTGCCAACGCTGACATTGAAATTATTGGGGGTCCATTGAAATTTTTGGGAGTCCTAGGTGACCAATATGAATATGTTCATGTTAGTTTTAACTTGATTAGGAACTAAGAAGACAGAGGTAATCTCATGTGATGTTATGTTAGTTGTGTTTTCTTTTTTGGGCAAAGTTGGGAAGTTTCTTCAATATTTTCGATTTACTCACAGTAAATGATCATGCTACTCGAAATATTTTATAAGAACCAGACAACCAAAATTTACTATAGATGTATTGTATGTATTTAATGTAAGCTAACTTGTGATGATTGCTCCTTTTTTCTTTTACAGGTTCAGCAATGAAGTAGCGGCAAAAGGAGGTCCTATCTGCACCCTTATTTTGAATCTTGTTTTCTGACTTGAAGAAAGCAAGAGAGTGTGCACAGTGATGTTTGTCCTCCCCTTGACCGATAGCTCAACTGCTGAAGATGAGCTAACCCCCCCCCCCCCCCCCCCGCCCCTCCTTTTTTTATTCCAGTTTCTTTATTGAAATCAATATCTAAGTGATTGTAGTTTTGGAAGCGAGGCTTCTGCGTTTCTGTTGGCGACGGTTATGTACCTGGCAAATAGAGTACCTGAAATTATTTCACATTAATCTAGCACGGCGTACTCGTCGGGAAAGTTCAGAATTCAGTTTTCATGATGCTTATATTTGCTTGCGCTAAACTGTGACGAGAAAGAGATTTTGACGAAATGTTCCTGTCATACAAAAAGTAAAGGTAATGGTAGTCAACATTCTTCAACCCCCCCCAACCCTCCCCCCCCCCCCCCGCCCGCCCCCCCCCCCCCCCCCCAACACACACCCACACACACTCCTCTTATTTTGGAATCGGTGGTTTGTCTATTTATGGGTTAGTTGGGTTGCTGGTGCTTCATTTTCAAAAGTGTGTAATAAGTCACTAACTACAGCCTAAAGTTAGGAGAAGGTAAATGTAATGGTGATATAATAACATGATTCATTTGTATTATTGCCAAGCTAACATGAGGTCTAACCTTGCTTAAACCCCTCAAAACTAAAACCAAATACAAATTAGCATACGTTTGTTAAAAAAATATATAAATTTGTTCAGGATTGTTACTGCTCATCTAAATTTTATTTTACATAAAATTAACACACTTTTATTAAGAATTACAAGTTAGCTGTAAGCTTTGGAAAAAATTGGTCTTTTTTTTATGGAAAAAAAGTGGATTTTAAATATCTAAACTCTAATTGTAAATTCCAGAATCAATATCAACACAAGATGAAGAAGCGTTATTCCAATATTAGTCCCTCGCATCTTCAATATTTCCAAATTAGTCCCCCGTGTCATGGAAATTCCTATTAGGTCCCTCAAATCATCCACTTTCTTACAATTAGGTTTTCCTGATTGATTTAACATGTATTTACTTAATGGGGTTGGGTTAGATATTTATCCCATTTCCTTCCCTTCTATTCAAAGTTCGTAGTGATTGAAAAATGGAAATAATAATTTCCTACTTCCTCCTCATTCCCCCTGCTGACCGCCTCCCCCGTATGATTGGAAGTTTTTCCTTTTAGCCTTTTTTCTTTATGATCTCTGTATGAGAAATGAGGATTTTGTGGGGAAAATACATATAACGGCACTTTAGTAATTAGCATGTGGGATTAATACCTAACCCAACCCCCAATTAAACAAATACATAATTAAATCAAATAGAGCGACCTAATCATAAGAAATTGGATGATTTGAGGGACGAAATAGGAATTTCCATGATGTGGGGGACTAATTTGGGAATATTGAAGATCCGAGAGGGACTACATCGAAATACCCCGATAAAGAAAAGAAAAGAGAGAGGGGAAATAGTAAAAAAAGGCATTTCTGCACGTGCATCACACGTGCACAGCAACTTCGTGGACCCGAACCCGCCCTCACTGACATCACCGGCGAAGTTCACTCCTCTTCCCGCTCTCTCTCTCTTCTCATTTCTCATCAGCCCCAAAAACACTCTAAAAAAAAAAGAAAAATTAAAATCAATGGAGCGAGGAGAACCCTCATCCGACGACGACGAAGATCTCCAAACCCTAATCCCAAATCACCGCTCCACCTTCGAGATCGGCCCCTCGTCCTCCCCCGCCGT